ATCTATTAACTAGGGCGAAACCGCGTGAGTGTTTTTCATAAACAGAAAGTGCTATAAACAATACTATAGCTATAAAATACAGTGTTATCTTTATTATACATTAGCAAGCACCAACAATGTGTATAACATATTATTTACTATAAACAATACTACAGCTATAAACTACGGTGTTATCTTTGTTATATACTAGCAGGTACCAACAATGTGTCTAACATGTTATTTAGTATAAACAATACTACCGCTAGAGAATACAGTGTTATCTTCATTATACACTAGCAACCACCAACAATATGTTTAACATATTATTTAGTATAAACAATGCTACAGCTAGAAAACACAGTGTTATCTTTGTTATACACTAGATACCACCAACAATGTGTCTACATATTATTTAGAATAAACAATACTACCGCTAGAGAACACAGTGTTATCTTCATTATACACTAGTAAGCACCAGAAATATTTGCTATAAATTATATGATTTTAAACAATAGTCTAGCCAGAGAGAACAGCACTAAATTTATTATAGACTAATACGTTGTAGCAGCGTTTCCATTATAGTATAGCATATTATAAATATATAGTTAGAGAACACTGTTAGCTTTGTTATACAAACTAGTAAAATGGAAAACAAAAGTTGCTAATGCACACTATCTTTCGATAAGTTCGGATGGCTAACAGCGGTAATCTTGGATTAACATGTCGTTTATTGAATGGCTAATAAAGATAATGGTAATCTTGGATTAACATGTCGTTTATAGAAGTTTGAACCTGTCTGGTATTCATACTTATTTTTTTTTATTTCCATTTGGTATACCTGAATCAAATATAGAAGAAAAATCCCTAGAATTATTCCTTTTGCTAAATAACTATCACTGGGAAAAAGTTTCCAAAATATAATGAATCTTAAAACAAATATGATACTCCGATCGTTATCATTACCTAACTGGTTCTGTCAGATATACAGCGCAGAAAATATTTATAGCATCGACATCATATCCTAGATGTTTGTTTTGAGGACGGAACGTCATGTTCTAAGTTTTGAATTATTGACAAAACACCAAATTCTAAAATGTTTTTTGTTTCATTAACAAAACGCCACTTCCTACATATTTATTTTGAGGACGGAACGTCATGTTCTAAGTTTTGAATTATTGACAAAACACCAAATTCTAAAATGTTTTTTGTTTCATTAACAAAACGCCACTTCCTACATGTTTCTTTTGTGGACGGAACGTCATGTTCTAAGTTTTGAATTATTGACAAAACACCAAATTCTAAAAGGTTTTTGTTTCATTAACAAAACGCCACTTCCTACATGTTTATTTTGTGGACGGAACGTCATGTTCTAAGTTTTGAATTATTGACAAAACACCAAATTCTAAATAGTTTTTGTTTCATTAACAAAACGCCACTTCCTACATGTTTATTTTGTGGACGGAACGTTATGTTCTAAGTTTTGAATTACTAACAAAACACCAAATTCTAAGAGGTTTCTGTTTCATTAGCAAAACATAGTGTCCTGGAAGGTTTTGATTTTATGAACAAAAACCACATTTTAGAAGGTTTTCGTTTCATTAACAAAACGTTCTGGGAGGTTCATTGGATTAATAAAAAAGTGTATATTTTTCAATGTGTGTGTGTGTCTTGTCCTTCTAAAATGGAATGATGTTTTCCCATGATTGAAAAATGTAAATTATATTGGTGTTCCTTTCCGATTGGTGAAGAGCGTCTTTTTTCCTCAGTGAAATCATGTTTCTGATTTTCCTAAGATCGTCATTGTCTTCATGGATATATCTTATTTATTACATTTAGTCAGGCTACTGGCAATATATAAGCATAAGACTTACTAAATAATTTATTGATTAGACTAATGACGATATTCTTCATAGTAAAATGTTGTGGTCAAAGTCATTTTTGGTAGAATAATCAGAAAAATTTATCTATGATGTCTTTCTAAATCTTTAGTCAAAATCTGGGGAATCGTATCATCCAAAACTTGTACATCTGGTCAGATATTTAGTCTATTTATATTTATGTAAATTCTAATGATACTTGTTTTACTTTATACTTGATCACATTGTTTTATTATATTTTTATTTATTTTATTCTATTATGTTTCATATGTGGAGCATTTGACTGTGGTGTATGCATTCTATTATGCTTTCATATGTGGCGCTTTTGTCTGTGGTGTATGTATTCTATTATGTTTTTATATATGGGGCATTTGTCTGTAGTGTATGTATTCTATTATGCTTTCATATGTGGCGTCTTTGTCTGTGTGTATGTATTCTATTATGTTTTTATA